AATTTAAGTCAAAAGCTTTGTTTTCTTTTGATCTTTCAATCTCATCTTTCAATGATTTCTTTCATCTTTCAATTGTTCTTCAAGCTTTTCAAATTTTCAATCGACTCGAGTTATACGCATTTTTAGGTAAACTTTTTGTATTCCTAATCAATTTTCATTCATTTTTCTCATAGTTATCGTATTTTTCTTTCTCAACTTTCCCTTTAAACTTTCAAATCTTTCAACACCTTTCAACGACTTCAAAATCTTTAAAATCCTTCAAATTCCTTTAATTTTTACACCACATTTTTGAAAATCTTTAAACTAAATAGACAAAAACAAAGATTTTTTTTGACTGTTCAAATTGATTGTTGGTCAGCCATTATTTCAAGTAAAAGTTCGTAAAAGAATCTTTCAATTATTCAATTATTTTCTTTTCATCTTTCAATTGGGGGGTGGGACAAATGCGACCTTTTTTTTGCGCACCTGGACATTTGCGCACCTTTTTTTTTGCTGGAAAAGGCCTTAGGCAAGGCCGTAGAGCTTCGAAAATATTTCCATATAAGGGAATCGTATGCGTAGATTCCGAATTTCGACAAATCAGACCTCGCTGACACGTCAAATTTGGGCTAAAAGGCAAAAACTACGCAACTTAACGCTTTTCCGCAGTTTTTGCCTTTTAACCCAAATTTGACGTGTCAGCGAGGTCTGATTTGTCGAAATTCGGAATCTACGCATACGATTCCCTTATATGGAAATATTTTCGAAGCTCTACGACCTTTCCTAAGGCCTTTTCCAGCAAAAAGGTGCAAATGTCAGGGTGCGCAAATGTCCAGGTGCGCAAAAAAGGTCGCATTTGTCCCACCCCCTTCAATTCTTCAATTGTTTTCTTTTCATCTTTCAATTGTTCTTTAAGCTTTTCAAATTTTCAATCAACTCGAGTTTCGTCTTATGACTTTTGCCGGCAAAGCTTAAATGCTTAATCAAATGCAAATTAAAATCTAACGCTTTGCAAAACTCCTTCCTTTCCTCAATCAATAGCACTACAATTGTTTATTTTTAGTATTTTTAGTAACCTATATCCCTCAAATGAATCTTTACAATTTTTGAGGTAAATAGCCGTCTCTCAATCTTTAGAAAATCCACTGAAAAAAAAAACGGCGAAATGGATTAGAAAATTTCGAAGAAAAATGGGGAAAAAGAAAAGGTTATTTGTTGAATTCACACGTGTCATTTTGTGTCTGTCCTCAAAATGAATTGAGGACAAATTGTTCGAGAGTGGGTGAGCGAGGGATTTCTGTGAAAAGGGAAACGGGGCAACAGAGGACTCCAATCTCTTATATCATATTTTTGAGACAATTGCATTCAGCTCAATCAACTCGAGTTTCTTCCTATGACTTTTGCCGGCAAAGGTTAGATGCTTAATCAAATGCTAATTATGATCTAGCGCTTTGCAAAACTGTTGCAAGGATATTGAAAAACTGTAACTGTAACTGTAACTGTAGCTGTAGCTGTAACTGTAACTCTAACTGTAACTGTAACCTGGAGAACGGCAGGCGTAAACATCGGGGCAACTCTAAACCTAAACTAAGGAAACTGAAACTGTAGCTGTAACTGTAACTGTAGCTGTAACTGGAACTGTAGCTGTAAACTCAATCTTTATCTAGCTACGTTATTCCGCTAAAATCGACAATATTTTAACATTTTTGACATCATCAACATCGACATTCAATATTCAATCAAAATCTTCTTAATACTTTTGCTTTTGAAAACTTTCAACAAAAAAAACAAAATTTTCTCTTAAGAAACCCTTCTACGCACTTTGATCACTTCAAGAGATGAAAAGCAAAGAAAAAAAGTTTCATTTTCATTTCACGCGTGCATTTTTCCAATTTTCCTCTTTCTCCAGAAATGCCGACTCTTTTTAATAAATAAATCGAGTTTTGAACTATCGGAAAAGGTTTTTTCTAGAGAAAAGCTTGAGAAATCATTCGAAACAGAACAAATTGCAGCATATTAATGTCCAAATTTGTGCTATTCTTTGCCTTTACTATTTAGTACTTGTATTTGTAGTTGTTTTTGACTAAAACCATAGGAGTGTCGAACATAACAGTAAAACAGTCGACTCTCTCTATAACGGAACTCTATATAGCGAAAAACTCTATATAACGGAATCGAATTTTGATCCCGTTCGACGCTAAGCTATCTATAACGGCACTCTATATAACGGAAACATTTTTTGGTCGCTTCCATTCCGTCGGCTCTTCACAACTATATTTAATTTATTATATTATATTCTTTATTAAATACAGTCGACTCTCTATATAACGGAACTCTATATAGCGAAAAACTCTATATAACGGAATCGAATTTTGATCCGACGCTAAGCTATCTATAACGGTACTCTATCTAACGGAATGCTCTATAAAATGAAACAAATTGTTTGGTCTCTTCCATTCCGTTATCGAGAGAGTTTACTGTACTTTCTTCTCATGCAAACGCACTTGCACTCATTTCTTCCAGTTCTTCCAGTTTTTTGTGTTGTTGATTTTTTTTGAGAAACATTGCAGAAACTATTCTTGCCAGGTTTAGATAATTTTTTGTTGTCACTGGCAGCTTGTTTACGAAGGGGCATAAAAAAAGAAATGATATTGTAGGCGTTCCTTTTACCATTTTGGAGTTAATTATTTAAATTCTTTAGTAAAAACGAGTAAATCTTTAGCAATTATTTAAATTCTTTAGTAAAAACGATAAGAATTCGCTCAATTTCGCAAAAAAACATTTGATTTCTTCTAAAGAGACTGAAAGGGCCAAAAAGAAGGGCCAAAAAGAGGGGAGAAGAAGGCCCAAAAAGAAGGGCCAAATTTAGAAACTCCGTGACGAAAAATACCAAGAAATGATATAAATTTTGGCTTGAAAATTGAATTAATGTTGAGTAAACATGTGAACGAAAAAAAAAAGAGAAAAAAAACGATGAAAAAGAGATCTTTCTTTTTGGTGGAGTGATGGGGCTAATCTTTGCGGGAATTTTCAATATTTGCCCATCATTCGAAAGAAATTTTTGCGTTCTAGTTACGAAAGGACGAAAAAGCATTTCTCGTTAGAAATTCGACTTCCTTGCCTAACTTTTTACAGAAAATTTTTGATTTGATATTCTTGTGTAAATTTCGGATGACCTAAAGCCATCAAAAAATGGCTAAAATATTAAATTTTGATTCGTTTTCGTGTTAGAGTTTTCAAAACTTACAACTCTTTCTTTAGTGAGGGGAGATTTTAAGTAACGACCGTTTAATAGGAATTTTATGATCATTTGACTGATCTCTGCCGATTTAACTCCGATTTTTCGTTAATTTTTGTCATTCAAGCTTGCCATTTTGAATCTATTTTTCACTTTCTTTTTACTAAAACTTATTGCTCATCGTCAGCTCTGTCAGCTCATTGTTAGCTCTATCAGCTCATTGTCAGCTCTGTAAGCTCATTGTCAGCTCTATCAGCTCATTGTCAGCTCTGTCATCTCATTGTCAGCTCTGTCATCTCATTTTCAGCTCCCATTTCTATAATATTTACTACGATATGTCTAGCGCTGAACAAAATTGTTCAAGAGAAACTTTTCCGAACCCAGCCTGCCTTCTGGCCTGCTTTTGCCTGATTTGTCTACCATGGCTTTGACTCACAAAAGTTCCTAGACAAGCCAGAAGTCAGACCTGGTTACTGAACTGTCTCTGGGGTTTATCTGATCCGCCACATCCCTGGCTTTCTGATATACAAACTTATTATCTAGCTTATTATATTCTGTGAGTATCAATCTGACATCATTGTCTCCACTATTAGCAACAAAATCTGTTTTTGGTCTTTTTCTGATGTTGTGAGCAAGACGAGATGAGTGTGGCAAAATAAGATTTCGTGTATCCGTCATCGAGGATGGAGAGAGGATGGGGTTGACTAAAAATGGCGGTGGATGGATTCGGGGTTTATTTTTGGGGCCCGAATTAGGTGTTTGGAGGAGAAAACGGGGCAGGCTGGGGAGATGGGGCTGGGGAGATGGGGCTGAAGGGATGTGTCTGTGTGTGGATTCTTCAGTCGAAGGGGAAGGGAAAGCTTTAGAGTCGCATACACAGATGGAAGGGAATGGGGGGGGGGAGGGTTTGGGTTTGGGTCGGAATTCACTTATCCTCACCTTTTCTTCAAAATGGTCGAAAAGAAGAAGGTGGCTTGTGGTTTGTGGAAAGGGAAGAGCAGTCAATTCTCCGCACCTCTCCAAACACATACTCACCTTTTTTGAGGAAAGACTGCAAAAATGATTTCCTTTCCGAGAAATGGTTGCGAGTTTTTGTTGAAATGTAATTTTGACGATATCCTGCTTCGGACGTAGATAGAAATGCTATGGAATGTCTTTACTTGACGATTTTTGTTTTCCTAAGAACTTAGCTTCAGATTACTTCAGGTTACTTCAGATTACTGTCTTACTGTCTAATTAATGCGCTTTCTGAGTATCTTTTAGCCAAACAGAGCTACGCATTACGGTAGCATTCCCAAGTCAGCGTTAGGATACAAAAGAAAACAAAGAAATGAGTTGTTCAATTTTAGAGCACAACCACTCTGGGTAGTTCTTCAGTTTTAACCAAATTCTTGAAGCTTTCCCCTTAAAACTAGATGTAGCGCTAATCAATCCGACTTTTTCTCCTACAAACCTGCTCAAGATTCTTTGAAATTAAGGCACAATCTTATCATTTCAAAAACCAATCCCCAAATAACATCACGCATCACTTTCTCAGCCTTATTTTATTTCGATGCCATCTGGTCGTTTCCTTACTTTTTCTTGTCTCAATTTTTTTTGTCTCTTGTCGTCTTTGTCCACTCTAAAGCCACAACTCTAAACATTTTATACTTTGTTTATTTTTTTTACTACAATTATCTGTTTACTACAATGTGTATCTGTTTACTACAATTATCAGTTTCAGTTTTTGCTTCCCATTTCTCTGATATGATTGTGATGTGAAAGAAAAGTTGAAGAAAAAAAAATGAACGCAACGAGTAGCGAGTATGTGGAAGAAATAAAAGAAAATGGGAATAATTCGGATTGCTTTTATGATCCGCCATTTGTCACCGAGAGGTTTGTTGAGAAAATAATCATTCAATCATTCAAATCGATTCTCCTGGTCAAGCCAGATGCTTTATTTGGCCTTTGCTGGTTTATCTTTAGTTTAAAATTGGTATAACTGGAGCTGGTAAAACCAAGACGAGCTAAGGTTCAGGTCAAGGTCAGCTCTAGCTTATCTTGGATCTTGGTATAACTGGAACTGGTAAAACCAAGTCAGGCTAGGGTTCAGGTCAAGGTCACCTCTGGCGTAGAGCTTGATTTATCAAAACTTAGCATTTCGCAATCAAGTAATCAAGTTGCAAAAATTAATCACTTCAAAAGTGATGAATTTTGAGTTATGCGCCAATGTTGGCTCAAAAATTGTCGAATGACTGGAAGAATTTCCCGAACTTCAAGGGGAAACTTTTCAATTCCAAGTACGGTACTTTATCAGGGTTTCTTTGTCAGCAATGGTTGCCTCAATTCACAGCTCGAGTTCAACTCATTGATCCAATACAGTTACAATCTTTGAGCCAACATTGGCCTATGACCAATGGCCAAAAATGTAAACGAGTTTGATGGCTTGAAAAGTTTTATAGGCTTGAAAAGGCTTGAAGGCTTGAAGGGAAAGACTTGAAAAGGCTTGAAAAGTTTTATAAAGGATTTTATAAAACGTTTTTTTTTTTGTTTCATTTAGCATATCTTATCTAAAACCAGACTGAGTAAATAAAATTTGTTTTTAAACAAAAAAAATTCAAAACCTTCTATGAGTAAACAGATATTCGCTGATCAAAGATCTTAAGCAAATCTTCCTTTCAAAAAAAAGATCTCAATTCAGATTTTGGTTGGTGGGTGTTGCGGGCACAACAGTGGCAATCATTAGCTTCATCGAGAACGCTTTTCTTTTCTATGTGTTGATGAAGAGGTTAGTTGAAAAGAAAACTAAAGAAAGAAAAGAAAGAAAAGAAAACTAAAGAAAGAAAAGAAAACTAAAGAAAAAAGAGACAAAGAACTACTTACTTACTGTGAACTACTTACTAATAGGTGAGCAAATGTAAAAACGTTAAAAAAAAAGCAACTTTTAATAAAGGTATACCTCCTATATTCACAAATAGTTTTGATGAGAAAACTCTTTAGGCGTTCCCATCGCGCCTCTCAAAATCTGTACCTCGGTTTGCTCGCCTTTTTCGATATGTTTATGGCTGGGTAGGGGAAATCGTCTAAAAAACTACAGTAATCAATATCTTATCATCATCATTTTTTCAGTGCATACATTCCGTTGATGAGTTTGAATCTTTTCGCTGACTATTTCCGATCGTTACCTTTGTTGACAGCTTGGTGAGTATAGATTTAGGTTTATCAATTTCAAGTCAATTTCAATTCAATTCACATTTCTCTATATTTCACATTTCATTTCACATTTCACATTCAGATTTCTCTATGATTCTCTATGGTTTAATATTGATTGTAGACAAGATTTCTTTTTTTGTTACACTAGAATTTTTAGAAGAAAAATGTTAGAGAAAAAAGTGATTTGCATTTGCGGAAGCTCACAGGAATGGATGGCTTAAAATAGGGTTTCTCAAAAGAGAAAAGGGAACTCTATTCAAAAGAAAAGCTTAAAGCTGAGAAATTTACTTAACATGTTACTTAATGGTCTTACTATGAATAACGCGACCTTAATCAAACTTTAATTGTCTTTAATTGTCCAGGTATTACTACATGATCCCATTGATCACCGTCTCACACATGGCCATGACATCATCATCATTTTTGATTGTCGCCGCCACTTTCGAGCGTTTCGCCATCACCGTTACCCCGCAGTACACGAAATTCGTGAGTAGGCATCGGTGAGTTAGTAATAATATAGTATAATATAGTATAATATAATTAATATAATATAATATAATATAATATAATATAATATAATATAATATCTACTATATACACTGTTGGACAATGAAATATGATATTTGAAAAAAGATCGTCACTTTCGCGCGTCTGTAACTTCCTTGTCTTTACCGTATTTCTAAATATTAATATTACCATTGTGTAGCCCTTGAAAAGAGCTTTCAGAAAATGTATAACACTAATAGTTTAAACTCAAAGACAAGGGAGTTAAAGACGCGCGAAAGTGACGATCGTTTTTCAAATATCATATTTCATTGTCCAGTACTGTATAAAGCAGCAAAGACGTCTGTACGCAGCCATTGGCAAAAAATGGGGCTTAGATTGCGTGAAAAACGTGGCCCTCGCCAACGGAAACGTTAATGAAATGTTTTCCGCTGATAATATAATATAATCATCATAGATCTTTAAAATTTCAAATTCTTTTGAAGAAACCCTAATCATTTTCAGAGTGGCAATAGCGGTGATTGCGATTCTACTCGGTTTCCTTACAAAGCTCACGATGGCGCTCGAAATCGAGGTAAAACTAAAGGTTGTTTTTTTTCGTTTAAAGATATCAGAAAATGTGACTAAAGTATTTCTTATTATGGATAATTCAGAAATGAGTGAGTCTATGAAAAAGATCTTTAGTTTTATAGGATAAATATAAAAAAGATTTCTTCATACGAATAATATGCTACAAACAATACACAAGTACAATCCTTAAATGGGAAGAAATGTAGGGAAGAAAAAAGAATGTAGGGAAGAACGTAGGGAAGAATGAAGAATGTAGGGAAGAACGTGGGGAAGAATGAAGAATGTAGGGAAGAACGTGGGGAAGAAAAAAGAAAACAATATTGAAAAAAAGGGGAAAAAAGATGAAGACCCAGCCGGCGGGATTGAACCCTTGAGCTTCGTTCTTTCTTCTTCATTCTTTTTTCCCTTTTTTTCAATATTGCTTTTTCTTCTGAAAAACTGATTTGCATTTGAAAAACTGAAGCTCACAGGAATGACCCAGCCGGTGGGATTGAACCCTTGAGCTTCCGGCTGGGTCTGATGATTCCTTTTTCCCTTCTTTTTCTTCCCTAGATTTATTTAATAAATAGATTTATTCACATGAATAATATGATACACACAATGCACAAGTACAATCCTTAAATGTAGGAAAGAAAAAAAAAGAATCATCAGACCGAGCCGGAAGCTCAAGGGTTCAATTCGGCCGGCTGGGTCTTCATTCTTTTTTCCCTTTTTTTTCAATATAGCTTTTTCTTCCCTACATTTAAGGATTGTACTTGTGTCTTGTTTGTATCATATTATTCGAGTGAATAAATCTATTAGTACAGGGACAAGGATCTTAGCCAGTATTAGCCAGTTTTAGTACTAGGGTCTTAGCCAGTCGGCCATGGGGACTAAGATCGGCCAAGAGGTTAACAAGCTATAAACCTTAAGAAAAAAAACTGCTGAAAACTTCCAAAGTAGTATTTGGTTAACTCTTTTACATTAAAACTGAACAAATCGAATCCAGAATCAAAAAAAATGATTGGATTTGCAAATCCAGAATCCAAATCCAGAATCCAAATCCAGAATCCAAATCCAGAATCCAAATCCAGAATCCAAATCCAGAATCCAAATCCAGAATCCAAATCCAGAATCCAAATCCAATCTTTCAGTGGACATTTGATAAGCAATGCGAAGGTTTCATGACGCAATGGGTGATCGATGTCTCAGAATTCGCAAGGAATCAAGTAAAAGATAAATCTTGAAAAACTCTAACAAGTTATTTGTAAAACATTGATTAAACTTGAATAGATAAATCAAAGATCATTGAATTGATCATTGAATTGAACAATTTGATTAGTTTTAAACGTTTTTTCCCATTTCTAGACATACGCCACTTATTGGAAAGTTCTTTTTCGCAACATTGTCACAATTTTGTTGCCATTTTTTCTCCTTCTCGTCCTCAACATCGGGTAATTTATTGAAATAACAAAAAAAATCACTTATACTTTTAAAAATTAATTCAGAAATTCTAATTTTAGAATTATTTTTGCCTATCGTCGAACCGATTTTCATTACCTCAACGTGCAGAAATTGAGCGAAGCAAAACGGAAAGTGAGTGAGGGGAAAGGAAATTCTACAAATATTCCATTAAATATTGATTCTATTGGGTTGGTGAAATGAAAACTGCGGGACTTTGAACTAAAATTTATTCAATATAAAACCATGAATTCATTCCAAATCATTTCCATTATTATTGACGACTTCTGCCCATTTTACAGGCAGTTTGCGGATTCCTCTTTCGCAGTAGGATTTTGGTTTGTGTGTGAGACAAGTGTGAGACTCAAAAATGGAGGACTGGAGATGTCCCAGTTTGAGCACTTTCTTCAAAAGAAACCCATTTTGGTGTCAATAGAAAAGTTGTAGAGAATCAAAAATGAGGCTTATAGCCAAATTTCCAAAAAGATACACTTGGTAGTTTCGCTTAAAATGCAAGTTTTGTGAAAATTCGTAAATTTCGCATTTCTTGAAAACCAGTTTTTGAATCGTTCTGAAAATTTGGATATAAGCTTGATTTTTGATTCTCTACAACTTTTCCATTGACACCAATAGGGGTTTCTTTTGAAGAAAGTGCTCAAACTGTCACATATGACAATAGCCGGCAGTTTTCAATTTACCAACCCAATACAATAGTGGATAAAGAGTGACAAAACAAACTAGTTGGCTAAAAACTAGATTACATTTCTTGTAAAATTGATATTGACAGCAATTCATGCCGTTTAAATGAACAAAAACTCTCAAGGCGAAGTTGAAAGTATTTTTTTAAATGCTATAACCAAGTAACTTTCCAATTGATAGCTTTCTATTTTTATTGTATATTATCGAAAAACTATTATATAAAACTAAAAACTAAAAACTTGTAGAGCTCTAGTCCAACAAAATTGTCGAAATAAACAAAAATAAATTCAGCAACGAGTCCGTGCCGCAACGCGTACCCTTTTGCTCGTCGTCTTCACTTATCTTTTATCAAATTTTCTGAATGTGGTTAGTGAAAATTTTTTTTTTGCTTTAATCAATTAACTTTTTGATTGATAGCTTTCTATTCTTATTGTATAGCTAAAAGCTTTAGCTAAAAACTATTAGCTAAAAACTATTAACTAAAAACTATTAACTAAAAACTATTAGCTAAAAACTATTAACTAAAAACTATTATATAGATACTTTATTCAGGACCTGAGATAAAGTGCGCTGGATTTAAGATTAAAACACATCAATTCATACACATAACACGAAAAGAGCCGATAAAAAGAAACACGGTATAATATCTGTAAAATGTGGGTAGCACAGATAACGTCAAGGATCCACTAGAGCTTCAAGATCAAGATCATCTACAGATAATTTAAAGGTTTCGAGACTATTGGACTCTCTCAAAACTCTGGGGAGTCGATTCCAAATTCTGGCAGTTCTTATTGGAAATTGTTATTGTTCTTATTAGCTAAAAACTAAAAGCTTGTAGAGCTCTAAAATAAAACTTTTTGTTAATGTCTAACTTAATTACTAGAAAAAAAAAAGTTGATCTGATCTGATCTGAAACATCTAAAATCTAAAAGAATAATAAAAAAAATCAATCTTTTAAACAAATTAGTTTTTCAGATTGTAACAATATGGGAATATTTTGATATTCAACAACTTCAAGAGGAATTTCCCGTTTTCTATTTGTTCGCTGTAGATGTGGTGGGTTTGAAATATTCAATAACAATAAATAGAAGCAGATTTCAAGTCCAATTCATCGTCAATAAAGTCAAGCTCACGATAGCTCACGATAGCTTTTTCCACGTTTTCGAATAATGCACTTGTTAAGTATTTTTCTAATGTCTAACTTGAAAATGAAAGATTTGTCGTAGAGGGGAAAACAGCCAAACTTACAACTGCAATTGAATTGCAAGTATTACTAAAAACCTTCAGAAGGGAAAACAGCCAAACTTACAATTTCAATTGAATTGCAAGTATTACTAAAAACCTAAAACAAACAAACAAACTCAACTCCAGGTTTCTTTATTGACAATTATTGCCGGTGCTCTCCGTCTTCCCATTTATGTTTCATGTCAAAAACAGTTACGGTGCGAGTTCGCTCTCCAGCTCAAGAAATGTCTCTTCTTTGCCAATTACTGGGTTCGTTGAGGGACAGAAATCATCAAATCATACAGTTTTATTTTTTTTACATAAAACCTTTGACCTTAAAACCAAATTCATCAATTTCTAGGGTTACAATCACTCGAAATTCACTCAAAGTGACGTCCGAACTGGTTCCACCGATGATTTAGAGGTATTTTTTGCATTTTTGACATTTTCTTTGAACTCTTTAACTCTTCAATCAATCAACTTTAATTCATTTAGTGAGTTTTGAGCAGTATGTAAATTTGGCAAGTTATGCAAAAAAAAGTTGCAAAGATTGCAAAGATCAATTTTAAAAAAAAAGATTTCTTTGAATGAATGCAAGTTCAATGAAGTGCAGTTCTTCTCTAATTGTTGAATTTTGATGAAAATTCTTTCTCTTCTAATTGCACGTTCTCAAAAAATCTCTTCTTCGTTTTTCTTCGTTCTGGCTTTCCGAGTTTTCTTGCAAGTTTGAACTTCTAAAAATTTCTCTATCATTGTTTGAGCACGAATAGAAGAGAATGAAAGATGTGAAGAAAATGGGATTGCTTTTTGGAAAAATGTAAAGATCGATTTAAGAAACGAGAATTTATCTAGAAGCTATTCTATAGCTATTCTTTATTCTAAATGTAAACACTTCCCTTCTGGTGCACTTCAAAAAACGTTTCAAACCGTTTCTGTACACTAGAAATGGTGGGTTTTATGTTTTCCCAAGCATAAAGTGAATTTTTAAGAAGGATTACATTAAAATACATTAGAATACATTAGAATACATTAGAATACAATAGAATACAATAGAATACAATAGAATACATTAGAATACATTAAAATACATTAAAATACATTAGAACACATTGGAATACATTAAAGTCTCTCAAAGTTGAGTCTCTCAAATGCCCGTCTTTACAATTTTCCATCAAAAGAGCAATCCCATAGTGAAGTGTCGAAATTTTTCACTAGAAATGCAAAAAGAAATTTTCCCAAAACCTCGTTGTAGCTGGGCGATGGAGCCGCTGATGACGCGGGAGGAGGCGGTCAATATGCTAATTTGTTGATGGCATTGGGAACAGCGCTCTTACAAAAACAACAACCAGGTGGACTGGAGAAAGGACAAGAAAAAGGACAAGAAAAGGAAAGGAGAAGATCGTCGAATAAAATCTCCAATCAACTGCCACCGCATCGACCATCGATTACGGTAGAGATTTCATAAGAATGCAACCGATAGTAAGCAAATTGGGGTTGGCAAATCTCGGTAGCACATTTAAAGGGAAAAAAGTCTACGTCCAGTTGATCTGGTTTTAAACTGGTTCGAAAAGTTGATCTGGTTTAGAAGCAGTTGATCTGGTTGATCTGGTTGATCTGGTTGATCTGGTTTAGAACCAGTTGATCTGGTTGATCTGGTTGATCTGGTTTAGAATCAGTTGATCTGGTTGATCTGGTTGATCTGGTTGATCTGGTTGATCTGGTTTAGAACCAGTTGATCTGGTTGATCTGGTTGATCTGGTTGATCTGGTTGATCTGGTTGATCTGGTTTAGAACCAGTTGATCTGGTTGATCTGGTTGATCTGGTTGATCTGGTTGATCTGGTTTAGAACCAGTTGATCTGGTTGATCTGGTTGATCTGGTTGATCTGGTTGATCTGGTTTAGAATCAGTTGATCTGATTGATCTGGTTTAGAACCAGATCAACCAGATCAACTGGACGTGGACCAGATCAACTTTTGATGGATTTGACGAAAGTTGATCTGGTTCTAAACCAGATAAACTTTCAAAAGCTATCTTAATCTTTAGTTACCTTTCATCACCAAAAAAAATCATACTGAAAGTCGATAAATTGATTAAAACTAGTGAATTGCAATAGTTTTCAAAAGGTGATACATTTTAGAAAACCCAGTCAACAAGACTGAAGTACTGTAGCTTTGATGGAAACCAAGATTTGCCAAAAACCGACCTTTTTTTGCAATCTATAAAGAATGCAATCTATATTTTTTTGCAATCTTTTTTGCAATCTTATATAAATAATGTGTTAAAATATTAGTGAATGCGTGTGAACAACTAATTTGTAGGGTAATTAACAAATGCAGTAGTGCAAAATAGAAAATAAAGCCTGGAATTTTTAACGCAAAACCCCTTGCTTTTTTTTTTCTATTCTGCAGCTTGATTGATTGATCTATTAGTTAGTAATTGACTTTTCTTTCTTTTCTACAATAATCTTTTCAAACTCTGTAATCATGTAAGATAAAAACGATAAAAGAACCAAATTTTATTTGGTGATTATTGAAATATTGCTATTTTTCGGATTGATTCTTATATTGTATTTCTATAAAGACCTCTAATGTAAAGCTATATATTAAAAATGTTGATGTGAAAGGAAAAGCTTCACATGTGCAAACTGGTTTACGAAATTTCGTTCTGGGGATAAATCCTTGAAGAAAAAGGGAGTCATTATCCAGCAGTCCACGCTGCAGCTTCAAACCAATAACAGCCTTTCTTCTCTAGCGAAACATTTATTAGTTTATCATACAATAATACTCGAAAATTCATTTGTATAAGCTTGAGCTTAAATGGAAATTACGAACTTGGACTCCATAGACACCCAAAAATGTGATTTTCAACACAGCCAAGCTGCAGCTGAACTGCTGGATAATCCCCTTTTCTCCCTTTTTTTCTTCAAGGATTTATCCCTAGAACGAAATTTAGTAAACCAGTTTGCATATGTCCTTAGTGGAGCTGATCTTTCCACATAAAAATCCTCAATATTAGCTGAACACTAGAGACACTAGATAAATGTTTTGATTGGAAAGAAAGGCTGTTATTGGTTTGAAGCTGCAGCGTGGACTGCTGGATAATGACCTCTTTTTTCTTCAAGGATTTATCCCCAGAACGAAATTTAGTAAACCAGTTTGCACATGTGAAGCTTTTCCTTTCACATCAACATTTTTAATATTTGGCTTTACATTAGAGACCTTTGTAGAAATACAATATAAGAATCAATCGGAAAAATAGCAACAATCAGCCGCGCTCATCTTTCTCGATGCTTTATGTTATTGGCTTTTAATTGAATTTTTATGCACGTCATTTATTTACTTTATCTATCAAAAAAATAGCTCAAAATTGTCCATCTAACGCATGCTATATTTCAGAATAAAAACTCTAACAGAGTTCAAACAGAAAATTCAATTGTAAACTAAAAATAATTAATAAACCACACCAGTTGTTTTTAAAAAGTTTTCTAAAAGATGCACTCGAGAAAAGTTACCGTAGCTTAGCTGCTAGATGTTCGCTTTCTAAAATGTGCTGATTATTGAAAACGACCGTAGTTCTGCTTTGTTTTTTTGTCTAATCTACGATAGAATTTCGATCGTTGATGCTTCAGAAAACGGACTAAAGGATAAGGACTGTTGTTTGCTACGAAAATAGCTTAGTTACGGTAACCCTTCTAGAGTTGTTGAATAAAATTTAAAGAAACCACTTCAAAACTCTTTGTTCATTCAGAAATTGCAGGTGGATTCAAGCCTAATGGATTCTCCAATGAAACCTCGTCGCTTTATTCGCCTTTCTTTCGATGAGAACTTTTCCCACGAAGAGATGGTTTGAAAGCATTGAAAGAATTGAAAGAAAATCTCTAAACACACCCTCAAAAAGTGCCATTGAACTTTGAAATTCACGGGTTTATATGTGTTTTTATAAATTAAAGATCAAATAAATGCTTTGCTGCACATGGATTTGTTAAAATGGAAATGAAAATGGAAATGAAAATGGAAATTGAAATAGTTTTTGTTCCGATTTTGAGACATTTGAGACGCGTCCCTTTTCTTTTCCCATCGGCAATCCAACTTTGAGCTCAAATTTCTTGGTTTTGAGCTTTTCAATTTCAATAGTTTTTTGTACCAATCGATAGAGAAAGACTTGGTGCATTTAATGATATTAAGAAGATTTAAATTCAACGGCTCAACACCAAGATATTTGAGTTTAAAGTTAGATTGTTGATGGGAAATGAGGTGGGACGTGTATCAAATGTTCAATAAACTTGTTTCGCGTGAACGAGACGGGTTTTATATGCAAATTTTGAGGAAATTATGTAAGATTTTCAATTTACTCAATCCAAAACTAGAGATCGAGTGCACAAAAAAGGATTCGTTTACTCGTTTTTGAGCTCAAAGTATACATAATATTGAGTTGGTGAATTGGCTTTGAAAGTTTTTCGATTCAAAACCAAAATCCTACCATGAAAGAGGAATCCGCAAATATGCCTGTAAAATGAGCAGAAGTCATCAATAATAATGGAAATTATTTCGAATGAATTTATGGTTTTATTTTCAATAAATTTTAGTTCAAAGTCTCGCAGTTTTCATTTCACCAATCCAATAGTATTGACTATAAGTACTGTAGTTTACGGAATTACTGTGGCTACAGCTAACAAGAAGATAATACTTGCTAAAGTTCAGACTGTTTTTTTAATGTTTACGGTTTTGGACAAGCTCTGGCCGCAATTCGGTTCCCAATCAAATGAAACTAAAGATATTCAGCGCTGTTCTCAGTAATACTCTTTCTAGCATAGTGATTTGTTGACACGATTTAAAAACGAATTAATAGAGGTACAATCCCTCGAAGTACCTTGAGATCCCTAAAGAAGAATAGGCCCTCCACGTCAAAGATCGTTCTCATCCACGACAACGCGCGCCCTCATGTTGCAAAACTGACTCGCTCTAAAATAAATAGCCTTGTTTGGGCACTTTTGGCGCATTCCCTATACAGTCGGGACCTTTTGATTACTATTTATTCCGGATCATGAGTAATGAGCTTGCGAGAGAACACTTCGATTCGGAAGAAGCAGTCAGAAATTGGCTTTGAAAGTTTTTCGATTCAAAACCAAAATCCTACCACGAAAGAGGAATCCGCAAATTGCCTGTAAAATGGGCAGAAGTCGTCCATAATAATGGAAATTATTTCGAATGAATTCATGGTTTTATGCTGAATAAATTGTAGTTCAAAGTCCCACAGTTTTCATTTCACCAACCC